ACAAGCATTACCTTTATACACAATATAGGAATGTCTTGTATGGGGAAAAATTTTAAACGCCCTGAATCCTTGAAGTACAATGAAAGTGAAGAAGGGAAGAATGAAGAGATTGAAGATAGTAAAAGAAATGAACCATCTCGATAGTCTACATATTAACAGCTAACTTATCTTTCGTCCGGAATCAGAGGTTAACTGATTGCTACTAGAGCAGTATTAGGACTAGGTGGTACAGCAAAATTTAATACCTGTTATAAAAACGGTTTAGGTTGACAAAACTCACACCAAAGGAAGAGGCAGTTCGTGGAATGCATTAGGAACAAATGCCGATAGTGGGAATAGAGGGAGATCGATGTGAATGAACGAGATCGGATCTGTACCAGATGGCCGTTGCATTGATAATAGTGGACAGCAACTACTCCCATCACTGCCTCTTTCGTCATCCTCCTCTTCCTCATCCTCCTCTCCATCGTCCATATTTGATCGTTCATCCTCAAATCTCACAGCCCCCCCTTCTAGAGTGCCAATTTCAATTCCTAAGGATCCAATTGACAGAGTAGTTGTTCCAGAAACTTGAGGCTTTGTGGAGCCTGGTTGGCGAGTCTTCTTCAAGATATCGCCCTTGAGGTGCTTATTCCGTCGTCGAGGCGAAGCATCGGTCGACGAGGCTAGAGAAGCTTCCGACTTGGTACCGAATGAATCTTGATGATAAGTTGTAGGCAAAGCTGTGATAGAAGTGTCAGCCGAAGGATGAATAGGGTTTGTACTAAAAAAAAAGATAGGTAAATGAAGATATAAATCGATTTTTTCATAGCATATATAGCACCAAATATAGTAGAAATATGTGACATTAGTTATTTATGCCTTATCTCTGAGCATTTCAATAAAATTCAGATAGTTGAGAGGCAACATTAGCAAGCATTTGAAATAGAATCCCCGCCAGAACGGATTAAATAATAATTATACAAAAGTTGTTTAACCTTGTTTTCGCAACTTGGTCATATTTGTAGGAAGACTTAGAAGAACGCACATTGTCCGGAGTCCATTGTATGCACAATCATTTCCAAAGTCGGACCGTGGACATGGTACATTCCCAGATGTGTCGCCGGCATCGTCAGTGAGTTTTACCCTTCGTAGCACCATATTACAAATCGTCAAAAAGGCAAGTGAAGCCGATCCTTTGACCAAACGTATGCTAAACAGTTGTGGTATCTCCCATTCTGCCCTGGCCTATTCACATTTCTTATATACTCAAATCACGCCTCTACTGTCAGAATTTTTTACTTGCTTAATTAAATGTGGTACGGTGTGGTACGGCTTTCATGAGAACCCTCCGCACTCCACACTGGCCTTCTCACCCCCTTCATCCGAGTTTGCCACATAGAATCCATCTACGATCTCTCTGGTTCAACTATTTTCTCTCTATCTGCTACTCAAGGTTTTATTACCCCTCCTCTGCGACTGGGTGACTAATTCGAGGCTAAAACCTCTGAGTAAGTGTCATGGTAACACCTTTGCCACATGGACCACGTCTCTTATAAAACCTACTGTCAGCCAACTAGCTCCCATCGCCACCGCGTCTATCCTGTTTCTATCTCAAATACCAAGTCTTACTCCCATGCCCCAGTCTCTTGTGTGCCAACCCACAAATGTTGTGGTTCAACATTGAACCTAACCAAGGCAAGCAGTGTACCACGTCCAAGGTCCGACTTTGGAAATGATTATGCATACAATCGACTCCGGACTAGGTGTGTTCCTCTAAGTCTTCCAACCAATATGACCAAGTTGCGAAAACAAGGTCAAACAACTTCTATACACACAAAAGGCCACACCATCTTGGTCCTCATACTTTCGAATAATTATGCAAGTTGATTAAAAGGCCAATTGCTCTTTATGGTAATAGCTCCAAGTTCTGAATCTTTCAAGAGGACAAAGAAGATCAAAAGGCGTTTATAATCCTTACGGATACCCAAGCTCAATTAACCGAACCGCTTTTGATGAGCTAAAGTTGAGCATAATTCGAGTAAATGGCAAAATCTCCGTAAGGGCATATTCTGAGATATCCGAGCCTCCATAAAGCTGCAAATATTGAGCACTTATTACACAATCAACTGCTACAGTATACTAAAGTTATACTTTAGAACTTTAATCTCAGTGAACTCACGAAACTGAGTGCAATCGCTCCTCTGAACTAAGTTCTATTTGAAAATAACCATTCCAAGAAGTCATTTAGGACTGCACCCAGTCCAGTGTTCAAAGGAAAACGTTGCCTTGTTCTAGAGACTTTAATTTAACCCACAAATAAGATATGTTGGAGGAACAAATGATAGAGATGATGATGATATGATGAAATATTTTTGAGAGTAATCAAGCTCCAGCAAAAAGCAAGGGTCCAAACAACTCTGCTATAAAAAATTGAACAAAATATTCACTAAAGTT